GCCTGTCCCTTGGTCCTTGGTTTGACAGACCCACCCCCACCTCTCTCCACCCTCCTCCAAGGGACTTGCACAGAGCCACAAGGTCTCCTCTCCCCTCCAGCACCTCCATGTCCTCTGCAAACTGACTCAGGGTGCCCTCCATGCCCTCGGCCAGATGATGGGTGAAGACGTTCAACAGGCCTGGCCCCAGCACTGAGCCCTGGGGACACCACTGGTGACCGGTCACCAACTGGATGTCACTCCATTCACCAGATGGAGTTAACAGATTCCACTGCTGCTCATCATTACAAGGGATTTAAAGCAGATGCACAATTGTTAGCTGAAGCCAAACTCTATTTTAGGACCAGGAGAGAGATGGAAACCAGAAAATTCCCTTCTGTTAAACAAGCTGTATGGCCCAGGAGTAACTGAGAAGAACAAGATCCCTTACAGCCCTTGGGGCAGGTGAGAGCCTCCAGCAAAGAAATGCCACCATCTTCTGCTGCTCCTACACCAGACAGCACCTGAGGGACCCAGCACTGCACTCTGAGAGCCCAGAGCAAAGGTCCTGGCCAGATTTACGCAGCCTGGCTCTCTCTCTGCCAGATTCCTTGGACTCTGCAATGCCAGGACAGCACATTATCTGTGCAGCGTCCTTCACTCCCAGGGACGAAGATAAGGGGCCAGCAAAGCAGCTGTCAGGCTCCAACAGACACCAGCCCTGGGGGATTCTTCCTCCAGAGAAAGCAAGTGCTCAAGGGAAGAAAGGATGATGCAGAGACCCAAGAGTGGATGTCATCACGTGCCTCAAAACACAGGGGACAGGAGGATTTTATTGAACAGAGATGGGGTGGGGTTGGGGACACAGTGTCACTTTTCCCCATGGCTCTGCTGACGCTGTGGTACAGCTCTGTCCCTTTTCTCCACACTCCTCTACCTCCCAAAACCAGCATCCCCTGCAAGCTTCTCTACAGCAGAGTGAGCTGTCTCAGCAGGACCAGGGGACAGGGCTGCTGGCACCACACTCGCTTCACAGACACTGTCACACTCCACTTCCTGAGGTCAAGCAGTGCAGCAATCAGAGGCCAAAAGGTGCCAATATACAGAATCCCAGGAGTTCCTGGGTTGGAAAAGCCCTTTGAGATCATGGAGTCCAACCATGAACCCAACACTGACCAGTCCCCGACTAACCCATGTCCCTCAGCACTGTGTCTACACGACTCTTCA